CAGTGTGGGTTGTTTCCGGGTACTCCGGCTTCCTCCCACACAATGGTTATTTTCCTATTTGTCTCTGTGTTGCCCTGCAATAGACTGGCAACCTGTCCAGGGTGTACCCCGCCTCTCGCCCATTGACAGCTTATCCCCAACAGGGATAAGCGTGACCAAAAAATGGATGGATACCTGTGGGCAACACCAGGTGAGAAATGGCAGATAAACTCCTCTTTGACAAGTGCTGTGGTTAGTCTAAAATTGAATATGCTTTAATCAAACTGACCCAATGACCTCAGAGTGTCACAAGGTGGGGGACACTTCATGGCTTGGGAAAGATTTTCTTCAGCATAGACAGTAAATCTGTGCTATGTTAATTGACAGATAGTGGTTCTCACCACAACATTTAATAATCGTTAATAATCTCAATCGTTATAGTATTGGTATAATTCCATTGTTATTCTAAAAGATGTACCCTAACCAGCATCTGTGCTGAAATGCGCTGGATAGGAAGTCCAGATCATAGTCAAAGGGCTGTTATACCAGTAAAAAGTGCATTTCTGCCTAATTTTCAGCGTTACTTTGACTTTTTTGAGTTTAAAAGCCTATTACGCTGAAATACGCCGGTGAGAACCCTGCAAATTGATAAAGCAAGAGACAGACATGACTTTGAAGTGGGGCAGAGGTTAAAGTATGCAGAGATTCTCCATTGAAACATACTAAGCTTTTGAGTCTTCAAAAAAATATCATCTTCTAGGTTTGCTGGTAGAGAGTTACTCCAAAGGAATTGCTGGTGTAATTGCAATGAAAGGTGGTTCACAAAAGTATTGACCCAGGGGACTCAGTACAAGTGCTCAGCAAACCAAGGTTGAGGTTGTAATGTGACAAAATGGAGAAAAGTTGAAGTGGTATGATAAAGGCTAGAAAAGTGCATTAGGAGTAAAAGACAGACTTTTTCCTTCCCTTAGGCCTTGAGGAGGGGATGTGGGGTAGAGGGGGCAGCAAGCAGCACCTGTCAGATGACACTTTGCAGCTGATGGTGCAGAAGGAGCGCTAAGTCGACTGCTTATCTATGACGCCACAACCTGCCGGGTGCAGCCAGTCTCCAGAGGGAAAGCACAAGAAAACCTAAGCTCTGACGCTCTCCAGGGCAGAAGTTCTGTTAATGTCTCCCCAAACAGAATAAAACACACTGATCTGCTCTAAATACATTTCATTATGATCATCATGATTATATCACTAATTGCGTGTACTCTGTAATGTACTGCAGCAGTTTCCTCCTGGGAAGACTGAATGATTAAAACATGCACAGTGAACCATGCATCACAATGTCCCTGCGGGCTTCCTCGTAAGATACATGCAAGCGGCTGCCCTGACACTCTGAGCTAGCAGGCAGCAGAGGATGCAGTCTGCAGAGGGTTTAAAGGCTGAGGAGGAACCTGCAGGCAATAACAAGACAGCAGCTGGACTTCAGAGGTGCAGAGGATTGACCCGAGCTGATCCCATCCATATCCATAAACCCACACTACATAACCTATATACCTTCAGACACGAGTCCAGGGCAGCCTAAATAATTCCTCCAGCACACAGGGCTGAGGTTCAAATCCAGCTTCTTCAACCTGCTCCAAGGAGTGCTTCCATCTTCATGTGAGGCTGACAGCAGAGGATAAAGTTTTTGTGACAGCATTTGATGAATGTTTAATCCGACATTCATACTTCCCAGGCTGGGACTGGGTCCCAAGTCAAAACCCACTACAGACACACAGCAGGTGTGTAAAATATTCATCCACTACACGCTTCATTAAGAATGAAACACACCGTGGTTACCCATTCATTTATTTATTCCGATTATCGAAACAAAAGACAGAAAAATGAGGGATTAAAACATGGTGGGAGCGCAATTCAGTGTTTGCCTCACAGATTTGTAGCGATTTGTTTTGTGACAAATAACTCTGCCTGTTGAAAGCTTGCTGTCGTCTTGCTGAGAGTCAGGCAGCTACAGTACTGTGAGAGGAGCTTTCATGTGAGGGGGGCTTTAACAAATCACTGCCTGCTTGAGACTCTCCAGCTCTGCATCCAATGCAGCGGCTTGACCTCTGACCCGCCCAGAGGCGTCTGCTGACTGGTCCCACAAAGCAAGCTGATGTATGGCTCAGCCAGCAACAGAGAAGTAGATCGTTTTTTACTAATTAATGACATTTAATGATCTCTCCTGGTGAGAAGGGGCTGAGCTCGGACAAATGAAATGACTGATGTCGCGGCTGTCAGAGAACGGACCAGGGAACGCGTCGCCACAGAGTGACAGGACTGCTTCAGCGTACATCCTCAATAATACTGAGTTGATGTGTCACACTGATGACATAATTTCCCAGTGGAGATCATTAAAGTTTCATCTGTTCTAATCTAATTACAGTAAAGATATTCTCATCTTAACACACAACCTTCATGAGAGCTTTCAGAGGATAACTGAATGACATAAATAAGATTGGTTTCCTCTTAGAGAAATAAATCTGTTTTTTGGAGAGACAAAAACCAAGAACACAAAGGCTGTTGGAACCTTCTGCGAAAAATACCATGTCAAAACACTGCCTTTCTATAAGTTTACAAGTTAGTTTACTCTGGAAAAGCATTTGAAAGGTTAGACACTGATGTTGGAGCAGAAAGCATGGCTCACATTCTTCACTCATTTTTTGCTGCACGATTGAACAGTGCTTAGCACTGTTGCCTTGCAGCCAGAAGGTACTTTGTTTGATTCCTGGACCGTTGTCTTTCTGCATGGAGTTTGCATGTTCTCCCTGTGCATGCGTTTGTTCACTCCGGGTACTCCGGCTTCCTCCCTCAGTCCAAAAACATGACTGTTAGGTTAATTGGCTTCTCTAAATTGTCCTTAGGTGTGAGTGTGTGTGCATGTTTGTATGTCATGGTGTGTCTCTGTGTTGCCCTGCAACAGACTGGCGACCCTGCCTCTCACCCGTAGACTGCCAGAGAGAGGCACCGGCCCCACCGTGATCCTGACAAGGACTAAGTGGGAGGAGATGGATGGATGGATGGTTTTCTTTTGGGTTGTGGTAAGGAATTCTCTGCAGTTATGAAGTCAGAATTCTGCTCAAATAGGATAAACATGTAATGAATACTAATATGAGCATTTTTAACATTCTATGAAAAATGGCCGATTATTGGAAGTCTACTTTTGCATGTTGGTTCTACTTTTAAATTGACAAAAGATGACCGCAAAGCATAAGGACCACACAAGATTCAGTAAAGAAGATTACTTATTTATATTGTAGCTTAATTGGAATGCCACAATATAATTGAAATAAGAGTCCAATTTCAGTCCAGAAAAGATGGGAGACTGGTTAACTTAATGTTTAAAGTCGTATGGAAATCATATTCAAATGTCAACTCATTCTGGCTTAAACATGTATATAAATGTACGGTACTCTTTATCAGACGTATTGTCCACAAATTTAGAAAATTTGAAATCTATTTGAAAAATAAAATCCTGTCTTAAAATCTGTGGTTTTTTTTTTTTTTTTTGTTATATTATGCAGGCCATTTAGTTATACATCAGCCTGGATGGCTGATGGACAGATGGACTTCTGTGTCTTCAGCAGGCGTAGAGCTAACAGAACTGGCAGCGTTGCGAGGCAAGGGCTCAAACATGTACGGCTGTAAGCCTTCTACACCAAACCAAGCTTCTGCCGCCCTGGTGTCCTCTTCGTCGTCGTCCCCACTTTCCTCATCTGAATAAAAAATGTATGATGGAGGAGACTCATCCATGACCTCTGACACAAAACTTTCCTCCTCTTGCATGTTTCCCGCTGTCCATTGTGTTTCTTGACTGTGTCGTTTCTAAGTCCCAAATTTAGCGCTACTTGGTCCCCATGTAATATCCAATTGGGAACCTACTAGCACTAAGTTGCTAACTGGTTAGCACGATGTTTCTGAGAAACTGGCTACAATCAAACGTTCTTGCGAACCTTCCGCCACAACAATCCTGCCCCCTTCATGATCGACCAATCACATTCACTTTATTCACTAGTGTAAAGTCGTGCACCACTCGGGAGAATTTGGAAATGCAACCGTTGGAACAACCGCTTCCCTACGACTTTAATAGAAAGTACAGAAATTATCCAAAACCTTTTTACATTTGTTAACATACCATTTGTTGGATATTCCTGATGAATTATGTAAAATGCACTTCCTCTACCTTATTGGTCACCAAATATTTGTTAGCTTAATTCTAGGAGGATTACCAAATAACATCCATAAATTTACTGTTCCAGAAAAATTCATGACATGGAGTTGCAGGAGAATATGTATTAGATCTAAGATGCTGCTGTACATTTATTAACCAATATATTGTCACCATTTATAAATATATTATTTTACTGTAGACCTTCTGTATTTGGTTGATTTACATTTTGTAACCTGTAGGAGTTGCATCAAGAACTGTTCTATATTCTCTCACTTATAATGTGAAATTAAAAGAAAAAATTCTGCGTATGTAAAATTACGATTTCTGTGCATTAGTTGGGATATATCAATAATAATATTTTGGATCCAATTCTCATAGAATATCGTGATTCGTGTTCATCATTTACCATTTGTTATTCCAGATCATAGATTTTTATGGGGAAGAGAGTTTGTAAATAAGAAGCCAACTGGATAAAGATGTTTGTGAATACTGGATAATTATATGGATATTAATAGAAAGTTTGTCGACATCAAAATCACATTTATAAAAATATTAAATTCCTCCAACGCCCTAGAAAGCTTAAATTAATTTTCTATTTCAGGACATTTCAGTGTAGAGGAATAAATCAAAATGTCATGATTTTCAAAATGAACCAAATTAGCTTAAAATGTATCAATCTATGTGTAATTCATTTATATAATATATAATTAAGTTTTTGAAATGTATAAATCAGTTATTTTGCCTATTTGATTTTTTAAAATGAAATAGTTTCCTTTCCCCCGCCCTTTCATAATGACGTCACTTCCTCTTCCTGGTGAAGATGGCGGCCGCCGCTGCGGCTGATTCTGTTCCCCGTGAGCCTGGAAAAGTTGTGATAAAGACGGAGCCTGAAGATGGGGACGGTTTCCTCCCCACTCCGCGGGACGTCCCGGTTAAACGTGACCCCGTGGTGTCGCTGCTGTCCCCGGTGAGCGGAGTGCAGCCTCTCAGCTGGTCTCCGGACCACCGCCTCGCTGTGTGCACCTCCAGCTCCCTGTCTGTGATGGAGCTGATCTGTGATGTCCACAATGGCAAGCAGGACCTGAACTTCTACAGGACCTCCATTCCTGTCCCCACTGACATACACAGACTGCAGGTATAAAAAAAAAAAAAAAAAAACAGACTGCAGGTATAAAAAAAAAAAAAAAAAGCTCAGATTTTGTTGATTTTATGCAGTTTCATCAGGAAGCTGTATCATCCTAGTGAAACTAAACCTCTGCAGCAAGAAACAGAAATATACAGCCTCTGGAATCACTAGGGCAACAAAGTCTATCCCACAGGTTAGCTTTGGTATTTTTTTTTTTTTCTTTTTATTCATTGCACTTGTTTTATTTTCAGTAAATATTGTATAAAGGCAGCACCAAACTGGCGTTGGTTGTTTTTGTTCACCTCTGATTGTCAAAGATCTTAGATCTTAGTAATCCCAACATATATTTGTTTATTAGTTACCATAATTAGGGAAGGTTTTTATTTACTCTTAAACATGTCTTTAGCAGACAAAGCAACCTGCTTTGTCTGCAGGTTGCTTTGTCTGCAGTAATTATACCAAAATTGTAAGAATACATAAACTTTTTGCGTGTAAGACAAAAAAAAAAAAAAAATATATTGCCAATATATCCTGTGCAGAACTCCTCAAGTGGAAAAGTTATAGTTTAACCTGGTCTAATTCTTTAAAAGATCTTCTTTTGCTGTCCGATTATTAACTGATTAATTGAGAAATAGTCAACTGATTAATTGATTCGTAAAATAACCGGTAGTTGCAGCCCTTATATATATATTTATATATATATATATATATATATATATATATATATATATATGGACCAGGCATTCGCATTCGAGCGACCAAACCCCCAACCCGTGATGGTATGTTTACCCCCGCCTGCCTGCCTATAATAGTAGAACCATTTGATATAAATTTGAATTCAGTGGGTCACATGACCTGGAAGCTATTGAGGAAATATTAATTACTTTTGTAATAATAAATGTTTACAAATATACAAAGGCTTAAAGTTGAATAAAACTGAGTGTGTCTCATCAGGCTAATGTAGTAAAACAATTTCACAAACAATTTGAGTCAGTAGGTCACATGACCTGGAAGCTATTGAAGAAAAGTCCCAACTTTTGTCTTTAAAAATATCTTGAAAATTGAAAATAGCTTAAAATTGCATAAAAGCAAGTGTTGCAAGTGATTTTATATTAGTTTCGTCGTAGCTGGTCATAAGATAAGTAATTTATTCATTTTTTGTTTCTTAAGAGTGCTTTTTTCAAAGATTTATTGACAGTCCTTAAATGCACCACCGCATGTGGGAGGAGGAAGCAGCTACATAAAATAGTTTACTGTACATTTGCTTTTAGGCTTCTATATTTTGTCTTATTTGTGTTTTCTCTGATCTTAAGGTTGGCCCATCAGATGAACTGATGTCTGCATTGGAGAAGTTCTCGTTGGATCCAGATCCCACCATAAAGCAGGCTTTTCTGGCCAACACTGTAATCAACCCTAATGTAGGGGAACACAAAGGGGTAAAGTATGCAAGCTGGTCCCCGTTAGGCTGTGACTCCATTGGACGGTGTCTGCTCGCTTACCTGACCCTCGATAACCGGCTCACCGTTCACAGCAGCCACCGGCACCTCAGCTGGAACACGCTGACCAATCTAACGGAGAAGTACAGCAAGAGGCTCCGCGAACGCGGCTACGCCAAAAAGGACGACAAGCCCCCCGAAGCTAACCTGTTAGATTTCTCTGAGCTCCAGCGGCGGTTCCAAATGCAGACCCCTCTCAGGATGGAGTGGTCCAGCATTTACACCATCAAAAAGGTCCTGGCAGACAACAGCTGTGTGGAGGAGCAGATGGTGCTCCTAGCAGTCCTGATGGAAAACGGAGACCTTGTTTTGTGGAAGTTCATGCTGCCGTTCGCAAAAGGAGACGATGTAGTTTTCTATGACCTGATTGAATCTGGGGTAAGCAGGCCCAGTGACCTGGCATGGTGGGAGTATGAGAACGGGGGTCAACGGATGGGGGGCTTAATCGTCGGCAGCGAGGCTGGACCCATCAAAATTATGCCTGTCAGCCTGTCGAAGGTCAAGGGCTACTTCACGATCCGGCACCCCATCATCCTGTGGAAGGAATGTGATGAGATCCCAGTGGAGAACCTCAGGTGCTTCCCGCTGTTCCACCCGATCCAAAAAAGCAGCTGCAGCCTCATCGTCGCCTCACGGGGATGCTACCTCTTTTGGTGTCTGCTGACTATTTCAGCGAAAGGACTAAGTGTGCACAATTCCCACATTACGGGACTCCACTCACTCCCTTTGGTCTCCTTAGTGGTCACTCAGCATCCAGTTGAGGTCTACACATGCTCCATAGACGGCTGGATAAAAAAACTGGTGCCCACATTCACAGAGAACTCTTTGGTTTTCAAAGTGGAGGACTTGTTTCAACCAGAGGCCCTCACACATAAATGGATACATGGGATGGCCGTGAGCCACAATGGGGCGTATGTCGCTCTGGTCACAACGCAGGGGATTGTCGATGGCTTTCATCCCGTAACCAGGAATCACCAGGTCCACTTCCTGGCTCTCAAATCTCCTGAAACGGCCATATCGTTCCTGCTAAAATCCCCCGAGCAGAATTTGTACAATTTGGCGGACTTGCTGGACCTGGTGAGATGGCAGGTTTTCAAAACCAAGCGCATCCCCGCGTGGCTACAGGACGAGCTCGACCGTAAAATCCAGGAAGCCGACTCCCCATACTGGTGGCGCATCAAGCTCTTTGTGGCGCGAGTTGTTCGCCTGTCGCTGCAGCCCCCCCGCACAGAAATCAATTGGAAACCCAAGCGAACGGAGACCAAAGTGTTTTTACAGGACGAGGAGATGGACGAGGCGGATGTTGGAACGGATAACGATGCGGCCCAGTGGACGGAAGGGGAATCTGATTTGGAGAAGCAAGAGGCCCGCAGGACTGAAGCGCAGAAGCTGATCGATGCTGCAGAGACGCATCTGATGAGGGAAAATATGAAGAAGGTGTTGGGGGTGGTCTACCTCAATACTTGGATGCCAGAGAACTTCTGTATCCCCACATGTGGCCTGATGGATTATCTATCCAGAGATCCTGGAGACAAAGATTCAGAGGTACCGACACAAGCTCTTAATAATAATAATAATGAATTTTATTTATAACGCACTTTACATTTGACATCAAATCAAGTGCTACAAAGTGCTACATTTAAAAAAAGGGAAAATTAAAACAAGTTTAAAAGACCATAACATTAAAAACAGTGTAAAAAGACAATCATTAAAATCAATACATCAAAAGGCATACGTAGCCTATTAAAAAAATGAAAATCAACAATTGTAGGTATTTCTAAAAAGGAAAGTTTTCAATCCTTTCTTAAAACAATCCACCGTCTGTGGGGCCCTAAGGTGGTCTGGTAGGGCATTCCACAGACTGGGAGCTGCGGCTTCGAAGGCCCTGTCGCCCATTGTCTTAGCTCTCAGCTTTTTGTCTTACAGCAACACTGTGAACGTTATGAACAAATTATTTCCTTCAATTAGGGATGAGAAATCTGGCATTAAAACATTAATATCTAATTATTATTTTTTTCCCTACAAATCAGATGAAATAATATTTTTTTTATTTTATTTTGTCATTTTTTTCTAAGTTAAGTTTGATAATAAACATGACAAATTCCATGTATTACTTCTAAAACCAGGCTTTTATTTCAGTCATCCATTCTGGGATTTGACTTTACAGGCAGAACGTGCAAACACCATTCAGAAAGACCTTTACTCTGAGCTAACAAAGCCATAAATGCAAGTTTTCCCAAAAATGAATTTTTTTTTTTAAACAGAAACGTCCATTAATCGCCCAGCCTGAGCTGGACAGTTAATTTAATTTGATATATATAATTGCAATTAGTGAACAGCTTGTTTCAGGGTCAAAGTAGAAAACTTCATAAAGTCATTATTTATTATTGTCTTTTAAAACAACTGTACTTATATTTTAGGATATTGGCAACTCTTTTATTTTAGCTGATTGTATTTCTGAATTGTAATGCAGCTCCATAAGCACAGCTTAACAGACATTCAAAATTTTATGTTTTTTCAATGAATCAACACCCCATACTTCAGCATGTCCAGGTTGAAATGGGACTCCGCTACCTGCAGGTTAGTAGCAGGCGAAAATGACTGAACTTTGGCTGTAAGAGAGAATAAGATCTGGAGCAGATAACAGGAAGGTGTTAATAGATTACTGCAAATTTATTCTTTAGACTGTTCGACTTAAATAAGATTTTAGTTACTGATACAGAATTCAATTCTGTGATAATTTTATAATGTTTTAGATAAAATAAATAACTACTGAATAAAAAAAAATGTTTTTTATGCTCGTCTTATTTCATTATAGTTCTTAGAAAATGATTATAATACCATAGAAATTAGTATCAACGGCTCAAAACTACAAAAATTGGAGACTAGAAATCCTGATCTCCCATCTTTTTATATATGAAAAAAATACATTAAAATACATAAAAGTTTGGGGGTGTTTTCAACTTGTTAAAAGGCACCCCCCTCCAAAGGAAACAAATGAATGCAAAGTTTTGCTTGTCACCATTATAAGAAACCTCTAATGCTGTGCTGCAGTAATTCTTTGACTAGTGGCCTTTATTTTGAGCTTCCGTCTCCATCTACACCACCTTCAGGTTCTGATCGGTCACATCAGGAAGAAACTGAACAAGCAGACGTTCCCGGAGCACTGCAGCCTGTGTCAAGCCACGCTGCCCTTCACCGACTACAAACAAGCCGTCTGTGAAAACGGACACGTGTGGCTCAGGTTTGAATAGCGCTCTTTAACCACTTCAGGAGAAAAGCGTTGGTTTGCTACTCCTCCTGGAGAGCTCAATTCTTTCTTTGAAAATTATAAATGTATTTATCCTCAGAGAGTAGTAATCAAGCCCACCCCCCCAACCCCACCTTTTGATATTTACCCAAGCATCACTCTCATCTCCTCATAAATATCATCCGTCAAACGTTCCTTCTGTTTGCTCTCCTGCTAGCACATTGCACCTCTGCTGGGCACAGATTTCCATTTCTTCGCCCGTCAGTTGCACGTCAGTGCTGCTTCCACCAAACTTTTGTCCCCCCCCACCCCTGCCTCACAGTGTGTGTGTGTGTGTCTACAGGGTGTGTGCGCCTGTCCCTTCCCATCCAGCTTCCTCATGTATTTGTCGCGCTCTCCTCCAGGTGTGTGTTGTCATACCAGGCCTGCCAGACGCTGACGTTCAGACGGTGCCTCCTGCAGGATTGCATTGCCAGACTGCCAGAGCCTGAGGGTAAGCGCCACTTTCCATCCACCTCCTCCTCCGTTTCACAGCCATCCAGTCCTGTCACCCTCAGAGACAGCCTTGGCCTCGCTCTGCCGCTCAGATCCTCGCCTGGCATGATGGATTTCAACCCGCTTGAGGGGTTAATACCTGGGAGGATTTTAAAATTATAAACGTGACTTAGTTTGTTTCTCTTTCCCTTCGGTTTGAAAGCGGTTAAATTATTCTGCAGCCGCTCTCATTTTTGATATTAATTTTTTATAGGAATTTTTTTAATCTAGAGTTTAAAACCCATCCAGCACGCAAATACACAACATTATTTGAGTTCATTTTTCTTTTTAATAACTGATAATGTATCATAGTTTTTTTATTGTGGCAGGAGGATATTTTATAGTAGAAAGATTAAATTGAATTTAGGTTGAGAAAAACTTGTTTTCACCCCTATGAATTAGTGTAACTGATCTATTTGTTTATCTACTTATAATTTAGTCTGTCTTTTTGATTATCAGTGCCCTTTTCTCTTGTTTTTTTTTTTTCCATTTTACAGTTTAGCTAAGAAAACATGTTATTCATGTAAGGTAAAGGAGTCGATATTTACCAATCAGGGATTGTCTACTAGAAAATAATGTCAAGTTCACAATTATAGACTCCTATTAAACTTATCTTTAAACTAAATCTGATAGAGTCTGGAGGGAGCTAAAGATTAGGGTGATGACAATGAGGTCTTCCAATCTCGAAGACTTGGAGCTCAGCACCAAAGATTAATTATTTGAATGAAAATGTGAAAGTTTGTTCAGCAATTAAAAGAAAGGTTGACCTGCCGCTATGATCAGAAAGATTGTTTGAATTATTATTTAAAAGAGTATAAATAACATATTTTTAAGCAGATGTCGAGGGATCATCCTTTTATGCTGTTTCATTACATTTTAATTATCAGGGAAAAACATGGTAAAATGTAAATGTTTTCCATTTTAATCCGCCAGTGGTTCAAACTTCAAACCTCTCCCCTAAAGCCGGGCAGATACAGCTCACACTGTATGACCAAACCGCAGGGTTTAAAAGTTCACAACTCGCGATGTATGTTCTCACACTCTCTGACCCGGCGCGCTGATGCGATCTACCTGCTCACACAGTACGTATAAAAACCACGTCAGACTCAGCTCCGCCATTAGATGGCGCTACTCTGACTCGTCTATTTGGAAGCCAAACATGTAAAAGAGGAACAAGACTTAATTGTTGATGCCTCCTGTTAAATATGAGGCTCATTAGAGTGAAACACGCTGCCTTGGCAATTTGTGCAAGTTTGTGCTGAAAGCCCTAAAACGAAAAGGTGGTTACGTATTTGGACAAAGACATGGCTAAGCAAACGTGGCTACTACGGTCTGTCAATTTTACAGAAAGAACTCCATTTCACTTGCACCCCCGCCATGTTTCTGTGTTTTCAGCTGAGAGGAGAAGAAGAAAAATCCTTGTTTGCACATAACCATTGAGCAATTTGCCCATGAACACCTTACAACAGCCGACTGACTTTGAAACATGTTTCATTTTCTCCCGACCTCACGATTCCTGATCGGGAGGTGGTCGTAAGCGGCTGATCGCCCCTCGTTACCCCCTGTATACTACACAATGCACGATCAGGCTGAAGGTCGGCCTGATCGAAAAATTCTCGCATGTCAGGAGAACACTAAACCAAAGCAACTTCTACTTCTATATCGTGGTGCTATCATGGCTCCAGCAACTTTACCAGTTTGTATTTCTAGTTTCTGTACAGTGAAAATTAGAATTAAATATTTTTAGTTGGTCCAAGTTGACAAATTTTACTTCTACTTTTTAAATCTTCTTGACGGAACCTTTGGCTATCCGATTATTAATCGAATAATCGACAGATTAATCGCTTTGCAAAATAATTATTAGTTGCAGCTATAGTGTTGAATATCTAAATGCAACTTAATTTATCATGCTATGATTAATGGAGGGTAGTTATGATAAAGAGTTTTGGAAGATAAAGTTGGAGGATCTGTGCCGTTATTTCTCATTGTGAAATATTTTTACAATAATTCCTGTGTTTCCCGCTCAGATCCAGACTGGATAAAGAAGCTGATGAAGGCGCCCTGCGTTCTCTGCGATTCACCGATGATCTAAGGACCAAACTACTCAGAAGCCTGCATCTGTCGCTGCAGCTCTCACAGCTCCACAATCCTGATTCAGAATCCAGTTTACTCAAATTTACCACTGCTGAGTATATATTTTTGATATAGTATTTATTTTATTAGGTAATATTGTTATAATAAAAAGAGTAAATAAAAAGTCTTTATTACTTGTTGGTTTCTTATTCATTTCGAAACCTGCAGAAAGAAAATGACTCTCCTGGCACTTTAAAGGGCTTTTTTATCTCTAACTTTATTATATTCCAAACTAAAACTTATTCTAATGCAGGCGCAGTGTTTGCACAAGAAAGTTTAAAATGCAGTTATATGTGGAAGTCATTATTATTCAGTTGGACTTCAGGGGCGCCATAAATAAGCTCCCTCATTTTCCTAATGTTGACTGTGTTTCAGAAGCTTTGGTGTAGTTTTTATTGCAAGTTAGTGGAACTTGCTCTCCAAGTCCTATTTTAGTATTTCTTTTTTCTTTCTTTTTGTTTGAGCGTAACAAATAATACAGTGTGAATTATACATAGTGTGGAGAAAAGAAAAAAAAAAACTGCATACCTTCTTTAATTGGCACTGTAAAACAATTTCCGAGCTCTGGATAGAGGAGGAGAAATGTTGGTGCTCAGTCATTCCCTCAGATGAGGACTTCCGCTAATGTAAACGCAGAAGAGACGAAGCGGCGAGGCAGATGAAATGAGCAAGAAGGCAGGAAGAAAGGGGAAAGTGTGGTTAAAAACGCGGCGCGTCCTCTCCCACGGGGGCGGCTCCAGTAATGAGATTCAGCCGTAATGAGGGACAGAACATGGAGCCAGATGTGATTCTAATTCTAATCAAGGAGGGGAGGCTGGTGCTGATGGAGGAGAGAGGGAGGTTACAGAGAATATTGTTAAATACAATTAACCCTTTATTCCTATTTGGAGGGAACAAGGACTGCGGGGAAAGGGTTACAGGCTCAATGGCCTGTTTTCATGGAGGCCAGCAGCCGGTGATCAAAGAACCTGGACCTGAGAGACCGAGCTGGTGGCAGAGCATCCTCCGGGTCCGGGCAGAGGTGGGATGAGGTCAGCCTTCCCTCTGGTTTCACCAGAGACATGACAGACAGCCCGGCGGCAAGTCTACCAAACACTCCAATGCTCTTAAAAGGCAACTGCCCTCTTTGTTTTATCTGAGTGTGCAGAGGTCGTGAAGGGAGGAGGCAAAATCTGCAGCATCATGAAGAACACATGATGCACTATAGTGAGTTGGAAGAAAAACTGAGTTTCACTATTTTCAACAACAAAAGAAAGTACATTTTTTCTGCAAACTTGGTCACCTTACTTGTAAAAAGAACCTGTGTGAATGATTTCATTTCAGCATAAGTTAGGTATTTCTGTGAGGGCCTTAAAGATTTGTTAGAGAACGTTAATGTGGAAAAACAGATTTATTAAGACCAAAGAACACACTAGACAGGTCAGAGAGGGGGGTGTTAAGATGTTGATGTTGTTTATTCAGCTTTGACTGCTGAATGTTGTATAAAATGTTTAAAAAAAAAAGCCTGAATGTTGGAACTGTAACTATACGGTCGTATGTTAACATTATCACTGCTGCTTACCTGTATCACGGCTGCACTTTAAAAGATGAAAATGTCTTGAGGGATGTACTGAAACGAAATTTCTTTTTGTATACACTATGTGTGTACAAAATGACAAAGTCTGTCTAAGTCTTTGTTTAAACAATCATTTGAATATTTTGTCTGGGAAGGAGAGCATGTGTCAGAGAAGCATCTAGAAGGTCCATGTACAACTTTGCAGAAGTTACACAGATCCATGATGCACTCCACAAATCTGATCTTATTAGATGAAAAGCAAAAAAACAGGCCCATAAAATCCTGCTCGTTACCCACAATCCATACAGAGGAAACAGCTCCCAAAACGTGCTCAGAGGAAGAGACAGAGGTGGAACTTTATTTATTTTGTCTATAAGCAAGACCCAGACCAACAGCATGGTGGTGGCAGCATCATACTTAGGGGATGCTATTTTCAGCTGGGGCATGGAAGCTGTCCACAAGTAAAGGGTTGAAGCCAAATACTGGATGATTCTGGAAGAAAACCGGTTGGAGACTGAAAGAGAAAAAATATTTGTATTATTAAAAGCTCTTTAAATCCTTTATGGATTTTTGAAGCGACATGTCAATCTGAACCTTTAAAAAATCAGAGATGTTTAATTTTTCACCTATGGTCTTATAAAGACCTTGTTGGGTCTTTATTTTTCCCCATATGTTGAATAAATAAGATGTCTTGGAGTTAACAGGTTCACAAAATTTCACAAATGTATATCTAGTTTCAGTTTTACTACAGTTTGGGTTTTCTTGGTGACAGAATTTATGGGATTCTTTCAACAGCAAAACAGATTTATCTTGTGAGTGCTGAAAACATTGGGAAAACTATATATACTGTTAGAATTGTCTCCCTATTATCAGTAAGATTACATCGAAATGAAACAGAAAATCTGCCTAAAACTTTTTTTTTAAACAGACTCATAGCACTAATTATTAGGTTTAAATATAAAACTGTTACATTCTGGACTTTATGGCAAATTATTAATCTTTCATTCATTTTCTAAACATTGCACACATTCATTTCTCTACCTTTTTTGTGACTAAACATTTTCTTTATTAAAACATTGCAAGCTCTTCATGTTATTAGGTTCCCAGTTTTGTTTGACATAAAATGAATCAGTTTTATTGAAATTTGCCAACATTTATACAACCTGGAAACTGTTTTTGAGGGTATTTTTAAATATGCTGAGGAGATATCAGAGATCGGATACCGGAGTTATAAACGTGTCACAATGTGAACCTGATTTGACCACAGTTATCGAGAATAAATTCTCTTTTCATTTTGGGAAACCGTTTTCTTATTTGTAAATTTTTACTAAATCCAACTAGACCCTAATCTTTGTTTCTACTACTTTTTTTCCTTTCTTAATCTGTGTAGTGTTTTTTTTACTCAATCTAGACTGAAGCGTGGGCCATAAATCACTACATTTTGTTTCCATTTGGATTAATAATCCAGTGAGCACCAAAACACAATGTCTTAATTTGGCAACAAAGAAATATTCTTTTAAATTGGGGAGAGCGGGTTTTATATCTCACTCTTGGTTTTCCTCCCTTCCAAACAAACCTAATGCTTTGGTTATCCCATTTAGCAAACTAAGAATCCTATATTCGGACTAGTAAAGCAATTGATAAATATCACAGTTGTGGTAATAAAATAACTTTTATCACTTCTATTTTTGAACTGAAATCTAAGGTAATATGTAAACATTTATCTAGATCCCTTGCTAATTAGCCTGATACAGTGTTCTGAGATCTGTCGTCAAATGAATCCTTGAATATCCTATTTGTTTTAAATCCCAAGTTAATTAAACTTTTTGGGAAAGGGTCTGTTTTTTATAGTGCTTTTTTATTAAGTCAAGAGACTTTATCAAGGTGCTTTACACTACTTTCATTCATTCACCCATTCATGCACACATTGATGATGAGCTACATTAAAGCCACAGCTGCCCTGGGGCTCACTGACAGAGGTGTGGCTGCCATCCACAGGCACCGCCGGGCCTTTTGACCACCTTTAGAAGGCAATGGGTCGTGTGCGATAACCACTGCGCCACCAAAGCACCCCCTGAACTATAAAACTTGAGATTTAGTCGAATGTGCCTCTAATAGCAGTGGTCACAGAGTCACCATTCTCTATAGTGATACATTTTCTATGCATGTTTTAATGCACATTTTCAATATTCATGTTTATTTAGTTTTGTTGATCCTGCGACCGTGTCGTTATCTGGCAAGAGCCCCAGTGATGATCACTGTTACCATTTCTCTGCCATTTTTAGACTAAAGTTTTTAAGTTTAGTTCTGTTTGAGAGTCATCCGTTTAGAGGATGTTTTATTGCATGTGACCTAAAAGAGATGGGAAAAGACACGTTTGATCCCTTTAACACAAGGTTAGAATCCTGAAAGCCACACAATGGCTTGGCAACATGTCTTTAATATATTTTTCAGAGATTTGCAAGGATTTTCAAGGATTTTGATGATTACAATATAGGCTTGGTGTCAATGTCTCTCTTTTTTCAGGAGACACTCCTAGATCCATCCATTTTCTGACACACTTAATCCAAAGTGGTGCTTGTGCCAGCTGTCTAAGGGCGAGTGTCGGGGTACTCCATAGACAGATCACCAGTCCATCGTAGGGCAACACAGAGATGAACAGGACAAACAACCATTCACACACACCTAAGGAGATTTTAGAGAAGCCAATTAACCTAATAGGCATGTTTTTGGACTGTGGGGGGAAGCCAGAGTACCCGGAGAAAACCCACGCATGCTCAGGGAGAAAATGCAAACTCCATGCAGAGAGACCCCGGGCCGGGAATCGAACCCTTCTTGCTGCAAGGCTGTGCTGTCCCACTTAGCAGCCGACACTCCTAGATTTAAAACAAATTTTACTACTTGAAGCTGTTTATATTTTTATATACTTTGGGAAAAAACTTAATCCCATAGGATGATGCTTTCATTACAATTATATTTTACTGTTGATATTTAGGAATTAAAGTCAAAAGTTAACGTTTTGTGTTATGAGACCATGACAGATTACTTATTTAGTGGGGATAAAAAAGGCTTATGTTTTCTAAAATCTCCTCAGTCAGTCTAGAATACCTTGTTGAAGAAAAACAATAATTATCTGGATTATATCAGAAACATAAAACAGGTATCTCTGTTCAAAGCAGCTGAGGAGCATGAAATCAAAAAGCATTTGTACTTCTTCTGTCAGTTGCTGTCGATGGTTATCTGGGACGGTTTAGTAGTCAGAATGTGTTTAGTGGCATCAGGCAAGATCCGGAGCTTGCTATTCTGTTTGTTTGTTTCCAGGAGGTTGCTCCTCAGGTTGTTATGTTCTTGTCACTGGTTTAGGTGGAAACCAGCCAGTAACAGGGTTAGATCCACCTCCCGCTTTAATATAATAATCCGTCAAAGAGCATCTCTTCTTGTAATTACCTGCTTTCCCTCCCTCTTTCTTTTCCTCCACCGTCATTGCTCTCGAGACTTCAAACAGGGGAATCTTCTCTTTGCATACAATATTTATACCCTTTATGTCAGTGGCTGGAAGACATGAAACATTCATGGCACCTTTTCACACCTTAATTTTATGTGATATTCCTTTTGTTTTGTTTAGATTCCAATTTGAAGATGATGTGTCCCATTGTTTTCTCCTGAGGGTATCAAATCATTTTGTTGCGTCAGAATAGTTCAATTTAGGCAGAGGAAACTAGCAGAGGCTTTTCAGTCGCAACAGTTTTTAATTACAATTCTAGAAGGCCTCGATTGATTCTGATAGCAACAAGACACATTTATGAAAGATCCGCTGAAAAGAAGGTTTTCTTTAAAGAACTCTTTACCTGTAAATGTACATTTTCTTTATTGCAAGCTGCCCTCTTAGACCACAAAAGAAAATCTGAAGTATTTTGTGTAAGGTGTTGATTTCTTTATGTTTTTGATCACTTCTTGAAGGAAACAACAAAGAGACAGTTGAATTTCTTTGTGTGAGGTCACTTTTATTTAAAATGTCCTGTCATCCTAAAGAATTTATAATGTTATGATCTTTATAACATTCTAAGTTCCTTTGGAAAGCAAACAGGCCTAAACCATAACAGATCCTCTACTGTACCTAAAAGTGGGAATTTGGTGGCTCTCCACATAGTCATCCACCTTAAAGTTCATCCTTAATGGTATCTGATTGATGCAAACTGTTCAAAATTGAAGTTACAGTCGTGCAGAGAGAGAGGGGAAAAAATTAGGCTTCACTTAACAGTAGGAGTTAGCTGCTTCTCCACATATTCCTCCTGAGCTTCCCACCATATTCATCTGTAGTGTTTGTTGCTAAAAAGTTCAATCTAATCTGATTAAAAGACCAAGACACCAAAGCACACCAAGCTAATGATAATATATGGATGTAAATTGTAACTGCCTGTATTTTTATGGCGGTTTTCCAAGTCAGAGGACTTGTCCAAAGCGCTTCACAGTACATTCAGTCATTCACGTAAACCAGGCGACTCAAACTGGTTCCAGAAAGGGCCGTGTGGCTGCAAGTTATCTTTCCAACCAGGCAATAGCACACCAGACTCCAGTCATCTCATCAAGTAAGTCCAGTCTTAACATGATTACTTGATGAGATTAATGGAGTCTGGTGTGCTATTGCTTGGTTGGTAAGAAAACCTGCAGCCACACGGCTAGTTTGAGAACCCTGACATAAACACTCACGGTAGTAAGCTACATTGTAGCCACAG